CATGTTTTCCCAGAGTCACTCTCTCATGTTGTGAAGAAATACATCTGAGCATTTCATCCTAGATGCCCTCCCCCCCACACTCCCCTTTCCCCCTCCTTTCTCTTGCTAGCGTGAGCTTGACTAAGAACCTGACGGGCTCTCCTGGGAATTTCCCCCCCAAGCGGGAGCTGCAGTCTCCATAGTCCTTCTCGGCTGTGATGTGGAGTCTGAGTCTCTGAGTCTTGGTTTTCATCACTTGGTAGGAACCCTCCACCTCACTATTTATGCCCATGACCCTGCTGGTGGCTCTGATCACAAGGAACCTCTGGGCCTTCTTTCTCCTCCTTATCCCTCTGGTTTCTCCTAGGTCAGGTAGAGGGTGAAGACCTGCTTGATGGCTTCCTAGCCTTGCAGCGAGGTGGAGAGAGGTGGAAAGTGGTCAGTTTGGGTGGGACTGGCATTGAGGGGTCCTGGGAGCCTGAGCCAGGTTGGTGAAGGAATGAGGAGACCGGCTGGTGGACAGCCAAGCAGTCATTAGAGTAAGAAGCAGCCAGAGGGTCCCCCACCCTCTGCAGGTCAAGGCCCAAGCGAGATTTTTCACTTCCAGCCAGCCAGACCTGCGTTCCTTCCCGTCATCCCCCTGCTGCGGGGTCTCAGCTAGACAGCTAAGTTATTCCTTAGCTGAGTGACCAAGTGGGAATGTGGCCAGCCGAGTGTAGTGGTGGTCAGGACAGTCAGCCTGAGGAAGGCACAAGGCTGGAGTCCTGAGGCTTTCGTGGCCAGCTGGCATCTGAGGGGGAGCCAGGGCTACACACCACTAAAGACACTAGGACCTCAAGGGAGCCATGAATCTGGTCCGAAATCTGTGCACTGTGCCACCCCTGCAGAGTTTGGGCCTGTAGTTAGAATTCCAGGTCAACATGGACCGGGAGTACATGGCTGAGAGTTGGGAGGCCTGCTCTGCTGTTGGACAGGCCGCTCATGGCCTGTGAAGTCACTCTGAGCTTCACTGTCCACATTAGTGGAATGGGAACAGTCACCCTAACTCACTAGACTGTCATGCAAGTGCTTTGTCATCCGGAAGGTAAAAGGGTCACAGCATGCGCATAACGGAGAGGACTTTGCACGTGATCAGCACCCCCTTGCTATGTGTCTCTTGCTAAATTCTGTCTATTGCTCTTCAGCATCTGTGAGGTATTTGAGTGAATCAAAACTTGACCATGATGCCGCTCTTCTGTGGTACTGCCCATTGGTGTCTGTGTGGCTACGTGGTTGCTTGAAAAACCAGGAAACCAGATGCTGTCCAGTCACGTGGACCCCATGTATGCCAGGGTAGATAGAACGGGGCTCTGTAGGATTTTGACAGCTGATTTTTTGGACCTGATCACCAGGCCCTTTTTTCTGAGATGCCTTTGGGTAGACTCGAACTGCCAACATTTTGATTAGGGGCTGAGAATGTACCACCCACTGAAGTCACCACATTTCTTCCTCTTGTGCCCTTGGGGAGACCCTGAACTCATGTCACTGGTCCTCTTTGGCCAAGCCTATATGGTCGCCTGAGATTGGCCGACCCCACTGTGCTCATGACGAGCTTGTCCCTGGGTTCTTTGGGCCCCAGCAAAGAATGTGGCCAGCTGAGTCTTTTGGGACTGTGGGAGTCCTGCCTGTCCAGTGAGCATGGATGGGACTTCACCCTCTATCCTTATGGCTCCTGCCCCTCTAGCATTTGCCCTCTTGCCTACAACCTCTGGGCCTGTGCAGGTTTGGGGAAGAAAAGCTAGAGGGCATGGTCTGCGTTTGTCCTGTAAAGGCCCAGATGCCAAGGAGCCTGGTGCTAGGTGAGGGTATGGGGTGGAGGGAGGAGTGGGATGAACTCAGCACTATGGAAGATCTCACAGTGAATACCGCCCTCCCGCCTGTGGTTCTGATGTGGTTCCCAGTCAGGACTGCAAACTGCAGCCAGTGTTGGCTGGATCCACCTCTCTGCTTGATCTTGATCTTCTTGCCTTGAAGTTGGTGAAGAATAAGTCTTTCTGCTTGGGCAGCCAGGCTGGCCCAGCCCCAAAGCCTTCTCCACCAGTCCCCTCGCCAAACCCAGGCCTGCAGGCATGGTGCTCCAGCCCAGCCCTGGAGGACGGTTGTGTCTTTGTAGGCTGCTCCCTGAGCGGGCCAGGGTGCATACCAGCCCTGCCTCGCAGCCCTCCCTTACACTTGCCGCAGGGATGGATGAGGTCATTGCTGGCGCGGCTGCTGGCGTGGGCCCAGGGTAAACACACCGCACAGAGCTCGCTGGTGCCACAGACTGAGGGGGCGATGCCAGGAGTGCTGTGGGCTTGAGCTGCACAGTCCTCTGGCCTCAGGTGGCCCTGGGGGGGAAGGGTCACTCAGGGAGAGCTGCTCTGCCCAGCCTATTCCTGGGTGCAGGGCTGGGTGGTGCACATCGCCCTGTGGGAGGGTCAGTTGGTAGATTTCCTGTGGGTTTGCATAGACTTCAGTACCAACCTAGATGGTGCAGAGGTTAATGCCCTTGGCTCCTGTGTGAAAGGTTGGAGGTTTGAGTCCAGTCAGGGGTGCCTCAGAAGTCAGGCCTGGCAATCGACTTGGAAACCAGCCATTGGAGCTATGGAGCACGGTTCCACTGTAACGCACATGGAGTCACCACGGGCAAAAGTCCAACTGATGGGTTCTGTTTTTTTTTAAATAACACTGACATCAATATCCAACACAGATGGTGCAGCGTGAACAAAGCCCTTTCGTATCTTCTCATAGAGCGTTTCACAGTTTTTCACATGCTAAACCATTTAATTCTCACAAGAAGCTGATGAGACAGGTTCACAGTGGGCGTAATCTCAGGCCACGACTCCAGATCAGTGGCCTGGCCTTTGGGGGTGTGCTCTTGACCATGGCTTCTCCGTAGTGGCCTGAGAGGCCTTCCTTCTCCACACAGTCTCTTAGAGTCGGCTCTCAGTGGTGGGCCCCTTCTGCCTCACCCTTTTCTTCCACAGGAGGTTTCTAACTTAGCATCTTCCTTTTTTAAAGAATATTTTAGTATTTTTTCTTACTGTGATTTGGATGCACATTTACAAAACAGGTTCGGTTTACTCTCAATGGTTCGTGCACATTTGGTTTCATGGCCCAATTACAATCCCAGCAATACAGAGATCTCCCTGTAACTCCCCCTCCCTGTGTCCTTCTTATCTGTGCATTCCTGTCTGTCCAGCTTTCCCTCTGTGCAAATGCTGCCCTTCGGATATCTCAAGGGTGGTTGAGCGAGGGGTTGCATCTCCCTGGGGTGGGTGCGTCTCCCTGGTTAGAATCTTGCTTTTCTTGGGATGGGGGAGAAGGGCTGGTGGCTTGCGGCATGGCCCAGTGTAGCAGAGGAGTCTGCATTCAGGACTCTATCTTGGAGCCCCCTCTTCCTTCAGCCTCAGTTTCCTCACCTGTTAAATGGAGTCTGAGTTTAAGATGAGCAGTCCTGGGTATAACTGGGTGGTGATCACTATGCCATCTGGCTCTGTTCTTGGCAGGGGAGGTGCTAAAGGACCTGTCAGCTTCCGCCCACTGGAATCCCCCACTCTGGCCCCCCACCTCTTTCTTGTTTGAGGTGGGCAAACATGGGACTTTGAGTTGCAGTTACAGGAGAGCAGGGCTAAGTCTTGGCTTTCTGGGTCTGGTCCATGTTGCTCAGGGCAGCTACTCCTTTGGGGCCAGTGAACAAGAGCTGAAGGAACTCAGTAGGGAGGGAGAATGAGAGTGGGGTGAAGAGGGAGGGGCCTGGAGCCATCCTTGTGGAATGAAGCAGGCCCTTTGGTTGCCACCCGGCTCTCAGTCCTCGTTATTCTGGTGCGGGTTTTATTTTGTCCTGTTTTGTGTTGAGAAGTTTGTAGCTCTCGGCTTACCAGGCCTGCTCTGGGCACCGAGGAGCCGGCTTTCCTGGGTTCATCCTCTGCCCAGGCCGGGGCCACGTGGCCTGGTTGAGGGCCTCCTCAGGAGAGGAGAGGCAGCCTAGTCTGTGTGCTGGCTCTTGATGTCTCGGGCTCCTAGGATGCTTTGCCTATCCCTTTGCCCCATCCCTGCCCTCCCCCATGGATCTGCCAAATATGTTACACAGATGTGTCCCTCACGGATCTACCATGCCCCTAGTAGGTGTGCAGCCCACTGAGACAAGGCATGATGAGACCATGAAGTAACCTCCCATCACTTGTCATGTGAGGCACCAGCATTAATTTACTCCCTGCAAAGGGGTCCTGGTGGCGCAGTGAGTAAGCAACCAGCTGCTAACCATAAGGTCAGTGGTTCAAACTCACCACCACTCTGGGGAGAGATGTGGAGTCTGCTTCTGTAGAGATTTACAGGCTTAGAAACTCTATGGGGGCAGTTCTAGTCTGTCCTATGAATCAGATCAACATGATAGCAATAGGTATGGTTTTGTTTTTTCAGCTTATGATGTCTGATTATAGAGGAGCTCTGGTGGCATAGTGCCTATCTGACTGCTAACCAGAAGGTTGGTGGTTCAAACCCACCAGCCAGTCTGTGGAAGGAAGACTGGGCAATCTACTTCTGTAGTGATACCGCCTTAGAAACCCAAAGGGGGTCGTTATGAGTCAGGTCCAACTTGACGGCAGTGGGCTTGGTTTTGATTATAAAAAGCAAACCCCACTGCCAGGGTCTGCTCTGACTCGTGGTGACCCCACATGTGTCCGAGGAGAACTGTGCTTTGTGGTTTTAATGGCTGATTTTTCAAAGCAGGTCACCAGGCCTTGCTCTGAGGCTCCTCTGGGTGCCTCGAACCGCCCAGGTTTGGCTGGAGCTGAGTATGTTCCCTGTTTGCACCACCCAGGACTCGGTCGATCACCATGGGTGCCAGAGGCCTTCGCCCCAGGCAGGGCTGTTAGTCCTAAACTCAGTTTCCACGAGGCCTGGTGTTGTGAGTGGCCTGTCGCCTGTGTGGCTTCCTCCCTCTCCACGTCTCTATGCTTGCTGTGAACCGGAGTCGGCAACGGCATCTTTGTTGTTCCCAGGGCAAGCTGCCCGTCCTGCTGCTGGGCCGGTCCTCGGAGCTGCGGCCAGGAGAGTTTGTGGTCGCCATCGGAAGTCCGTTTTCCCTTCAGAACACGGTTACCACCGGGATTGTCAGCACGACCCAGCGAGGAGGCAAGGAGCTCGGGCTGCGCAACTCGGACATGGACTACATCCAGACGGATGCCATCATCAACGTGAGCCCCGGCCGCTGAGCCAGCGGGGAACCGCGTGGGGCAGGGTCCCCATGGTCAGAGGGCTTCAAAGAACCCCTGTAAAGCAGATGGGGAGGAGGGCCGGACCTCCCCCCATTAATGTTCTTGGGCTCCTTTAAAGGACCTTGAGATTTTTCCAGTTCTTGGCAGCTAGAAGGACTCCCCCATCCCACCTGAGCAGGGTCAGTGGCCCTTCTGCCCACAGCCCCCTGGGGACATTGGAGGGCTTTTGGAGCTATCCATTGAGCTGAGTGCCTGAGGCATTTGACTACTAACCAGAAGGCTGGCAGTTCAAACCCACCAGCCACTCCTCAGAAGATTGAAGAAGCAATCTACTTCTGTGGAGATACCGCCTCAGAAACCCAAGGAGGGGTCACTATGAGTCTAATTGACTCGGCGGCAGTGAGTTTTTGAGTGAGCTGAGCTGTTTTGCAGCTTCCTGGCAGGAGAGAAGCTCAGCCTGGCACAGGCTCAGCAGAAAGTGTGAGCCCGGGCCCCTGCTGTCTGCTTTTTCTTCCAGCCAGTGCCTGATGGCCCCCAGAGGTACAGTCAGAGGCCGGGCCTCAGCCATCCGACCTGTCTGATGAGGCTAGGTCTGGCTTCACGAGATTTCATAAACAGGATCTCTTTTCAAATCGC